TTTTAAATGGGAAAATCATTGGGCCCTATGAGTTGCCAGAGAACTTGGATAGCGAAATTTATTTAGATTTTCTACAAAATCAATTGCCAAATTTACTGGAAGACGTACCATTAAACATTTACAGAGATATGTGGTACCAGCAAGATGGCTGCCCGGCGCATTATGCCCGCTCAGTTAGAGCATACCTCGATGAGGAATACCCGGGCAGGTGGATAGGACGGTCTGGCACAATCTCGTGGCCAGCCCGTTCTCCAGATTTAAATCCACTCGATTTCTTTTACTGGGGAGCAATGAAAGAAAAAGTTTACCATAAACCAATAGAAGACTTGGCGGAGCTACGTGCGAGAATAGCAGAAGCAGGAGAATTTGTTAATAACGGAAGATTCGCCCGTTTAATATCCCGATCATTTCTCAAAAGATGTCGGGCGTGTATTGCAGCTGAAGGAAAGCATTTTGAACATTTGCTGTAATTTAAATAAAATCATAATTTTACTTAAATAGATTTTTTATTTAATGGAACTATCCTAAGCTCAAAGAAAAAAATAATGATGCCATTAATTTAAATTAGCGGCGTCACTCTCTATCTCACTCACACTTCGTAGAAAAGCTCTCTCCGTCTCTCTCATACTAGAATTATGAATCTCACACATTAGCAGCGTCACTCTCTATCTCACTCACACTTCGTAGAATAGCTCTCTCCGTCTCTCTCATAGTTACCGTTAAGAATTATGTCATAGTTACCGTTCCGAGCGAAGGATTGGGTACACTAAATAAATTTAAATTAAGAAATAAAAAATAGTTGAAAACCGGTTTTGTTCACAAAAAAAATTATTTGACCATAATCTAAGAAATAAAGTAGCAAGTGTAATACCATTTTGGAATCCTCTTAAAATGCGCCAACTTTTAAAGCTACTTGCCCAACCAGTGTAGTACATTTTTTTTTCGGTAGAGTGAGTTGAAATTGAACGAAAATTCAATTTCTCTTTTGATATGGGAATAATGTGTCATTTTTTTTTCAAAATTAGAGCAGTTGTGTCAAAATTTTAGACGACTAGCTACAGGAGCATTACTCAGGGTTACAAAATAATAAAAAAATTAAAATAAAGTGGAAATTTGTAGAAACGGGAAGTGAAAATGCGTCACAGGGTGTATATTTTTCGATTTTTTTCAAAATGGTCATAATTTTTAAAATACATGACATAGATTTTATTTTTTATTTTTCTGATAACAGTTATGACCTGGCCTATCACCCCGTTCCGGCTTGACGTCGCGTCCCGGGACACCCTGTATAAAATATAAACAAAATATATTAATAATATAAATTATATAAAATTTAATATTAAATGAATCTGCTAATAAAGGAAGCAGAACAATAAAACCCGTGTAATTGCAATAAAATTACAACCTTGGTCGGCGAGACAGTAAATCTTAGCGGTGCCCTTATAAAGCATTAGGATACAGGATATCCTTTCATGATTTTGCAAAGACACCATGTATGTGGTACCGAAGCACAACAACCATTTGAATAAAATGTGTTAAATTTAATATTAATTCAATCTCCTAGTGTACGAAACAGAACTGTAAAATCCGTGTCATTGTAATAAAAATAAAATTGTCTTGGACTTCTCATGTTAACGAGGTTAACAGACGAATGCACTTCTCATTTCACTCGCTCAAACGACTCCAATACTTTCTCTCTTTTCATCTTCTACTCCCCATACTCGACAGTGCCGATGTTTGTTATTTAGATGTGACCGAAGAGCTTATGAATAAACTAGAGCGCCTAGAAAACTTAGTTATCCCATTTGTTTTCGGTCTCCGTAAGTTTGGTCGAGTTTCCGAATTTCGCGCTCGGTTAAAATGGCTCCCAATTCGCCTTCGCCGTGAAGTGCATATCCTGTCCGTCCTTTTTAATATACTTCATGACGCCAACTCCCCTTCCTATCTTCGTTTCCGGTTCCAGTTGCTACCCCCTCCCACCCATTCCAGGCGTCCGTCCATCACTAAGATGCTCGTTCGTCCTAATTGTAAAACAAATATCTTTTTTAACTTCTTTTCTTCTTGTGCAGGGCAGTTGTGGAACAGACTCCCTTCCCATATCCAGTCTAGCCCGTCTATCACTTCTTCCAAGAAAAGGTTGAAAGCGCATTTTCTTGCTGAACTCTCTTAGTAATCATCTTATTGTATTTTTTTTACATACTTATTTATGTACCTATATGTATATATTACACTATTTATATATTGATGCTATTTATTATGATTTTGTAATTAATACTTATGTAAGTAATCTTCCGCACTCTCTCTTGCACGCGATTGCCCGCTTATAATCTTTTATTTTAAACTTTATAAACTTTTTTACATTATTAAATTTCGCAGATCTTTTGGTGCCAACCTGTATATGTACGAATTGATTATTCTCTGGAAACACGTTGCAGACTAAATTTTGTTCCACGTTTTATTGTAGAATCGCGGTAATTACTTGAAGATTTATAAGACGTAGATCTGTAAAATATTTCTTTTGTTTCCGTATTTTCATGATGTTTTAAGCCTTTAGCAATGCCTTATTGTATCGCAAATGTAATTTTTTGTAGGTACAATTAGTTTCATAATAAATTTTTTTTTTTTTTACACATGACAGGCAAATGACTCCACTCCACCTGATGTTAAGTGGAAAGTGGTATCCAAACGCGAAGGAACCTAGTGCAGCGATGGAATCCTCACTGCACTAGCCACCTCCACCCTGCCTGCCTCTTCACGCCTCGTTTGAAGGACCCCATATTCTAAGAGGGAGGGAAGACATGTGCCGGAAGGGAGTTCCATTTGTCAACCGTGCGGCAGAGAAAGGAGCCACCGAACCTTTTAGTACGCGATGGAATGCGGCAGGTAGTGAAACGGTGACTACGAAGGCCAGCACGCGTGCTTCTGAGCAGGAACGGGGAAGGGGGGATGAGGTTGAACAGCTCTTCAGAGCACTCACCATGGTACATGCGGTAAAAGGCGCTAAGCGATGCAACATCTCTACGCAGTTGCAGAGGTTCAAGGCGTGATGAGACCTCTTCGTCGCCTATGATTCGAGTAGCACGACGCGACGCTGTAATTTATCCAAGGCATCGAGTAAGTACTTGGCGGAGCCGTCCCACAAGTGCGAACAATACTCACCGCAAGACCGGACCTGTGTTTTGTACAGCAGGCATAACTGGTCCGGCGTGAAAAAACGTCGCACTTAAACATAATTCCCGTAGGGAAATCGTGTTTATACAACTTACATGGCAATTATATAAAATTTTTTAATGATATAAAGTGATGACGGGACGAGTAAGCCAGTAATCCTATCCGATTTCAAGGGACCCGCGCGTTTGCGCACTACATAAGATTCGTATTCATTCCAAATCCGAGACTATACAAATCTAGAACCCTGGGACTCATTTCGGATGTCGCTTGTGCACTAAGTCCGATTTGAATACGAGAAAATACGAATATCGCTTTTACACCTAAACAAAATGATCCCTGTGACATTTCGAATCCTCATTTTCGCGAATTCGGAAATGATACTCTCAATAGTCTATGTTAGGGAGGTGTATTAGCAGTAAGGGAGTAGGGTCCGTAACTATGGCGACTTATGTATAAGTTAATCAGCTGCGCTCGAACTTGAGCCCACTCTTACCGCAAGGCCCTTGAAATCGTTTAGTGTAAAAACGCTTTAAATTGTACTGCCACGTGGCTGTCCTTGGGATAAAAAGTGGACAAGCCCCATATGCTTGTATTTACGCCAGCACACTTGCCCTCTAAAACCGGAACGCAATAATACTCAAATTACAGCTTGGTGGCAGAATTAATACAGTGGCTACTGCATATTTGGTATTCTATTGAAATAGGATACCAAATATGCTTAACTCGTCTAGGATGGTACAAAATTTGATTGAAGGCTATGCTCTTGCTGCTGCCAGTCTTCTGGTCACCGGAGATTTCAAGGAGGCGACTCAAACGCTCCTTAGAAGAGATTTGCCCCAAAGAGTGGCCCAGTGATTCAGAGTTTTGCTGAGGAAAACTTGCGTGGATATATTGATGTAAGTATTTAGTACTTAAACATCTTCCTATATCTTACTATACTGAAATATAATATTGATATAAGATTTGCTTTCTTGGGTACTTACCATCTTTTGACCACTTTGTTATTTAAACACGTGCGGATTTCCAGAAGTACGGACTTCCAGTATAATTTTCTTTTCCAATTATTTTTCTGACACAAGCATACAAATTGCCCTATGTACCATATTGTACCAAACGGAAGAAAGTATACTTTTTTGTTTTTGTTCTGTTTACTAGAAAACAGAAAATCGAGAAAGATTTCAGAATTCGGAATAAGAGACAGCTTCAGAGCAATAAAATTACGTCTGTAATAATTTGACCAAAAGTTCATTTACTTAATTCCCTATAACTATTTCATTCCCTATTAACCACATTTTCGGTACGTAAGTGGCAATTATGTCAGGCTAATCTGTGTCTTATGTTTACGACCTCAGTGTACCGATTTTCTTTTAAGTTTATCTTTGTATTCAGCCATTACATTGATGCCATTAAGATATCACAGCAATAAATAAAAAAATAAAATAAAAAAGTACTAAAGAATGGTTATTATATCAACAGTACTTCGTACTGCTTTGCCACGGGAGAGTTTAGGACCATAGTCCATCACAAAGGCTTCAGATACTTTCAAAGTGTTTACAATCTTTTCCAAAACGTCGAACATTTGTTGATTTTCCCTTCAAAGCGAGGCAGTAAATATTCATATTGTAACTGTGCGCTTGAAATGTCTCCTATTCTCATACGCTCGTATTGCCTCTCACTTGAGATTGGTATAGTTCCCAGGTCGAGGAAGCTCGCAAGCTGCAACCTGTGCCTAAAAAAGGAAGAGAGCTGACCCTGTCAACTATAGACCTATCTCAGTCACTTCCATACTCAGCAAAATTAAGGATCGTGTACTTACCAACCGTCTCCTGTCATACCTTGAAGATAACGATCTCCTCAGTGATCAATAGCAGTGATTCCGACGAGGACGGTTTGTCAAGGACCTTCTCGAATTCTTACTTCTCACTTAAATTGTTGTAATTTTGCAGATGTGGCCTTTTACACCAAGGATATAATTACATGTAAATATACAATTATTTCTAGACCTGAGTCGGTCGATTATTTTTGATAACCCGGGTTGATCATGACCCATGCGTAATATGATCGGGTCAAACGATTCGATCATATATTCGATATTTTAGGGGGTCACCGTATGTACGGTGATACTTCCATATGGCGTTTAAAAGTGTCAAATTATAGAATTAGCTTTTATTCTTTCCTGCTGATGGGTAATGTGTCTATAGTTAAATCACACTTAGGACATTAAAATTTCTTTCTAGTAAAAGTAACGGTGTTACAAAACAAAAATACATAACCAAAAACGTATGAGTATTCAAAATTATTAATTTATTATTCCTTAACATTTTAATATTAGCTAGTGCATTCATAAATATACACAACATACCGAGAAACAGATTAAACTTACAATATTACCATGCAATGGACACTACGTCACGGAGAATTATTGATACACTCAATGGATCCGTTGATCCGTTAACCCGTTGACCCATTGACTCGTTGATCAATTGCTTGACTTTTTGGTTCGATCTCTATCGAACAAATGTTCGACCCAAACGAAGAGTGAGAAGGCGAACTGTGTCATGAGTGAGAGAAAATGATAATATTGTGAATTGTTGAATAATCTCTAAAATTATAGCGATAAAGTCGAATATTGCGCGCATGACCCATGAAACTCTAAAATCATCGGGTTATTAAGCTAGAAAGTAGCCTGGGTTATAGGGTCACAGGTGCTGTTTGATTCGATCTGTCATTTTGATTCGATCGATCGCGATTGACACACGTCTAATTATTTTGTTTATTTTTTGCTTCTTTCAATCATTGCGTCGTTAATGCTAGGTAAATTATTTTAAATAACCTAACTTAGGTTAGGTTAGCTCACCTTTTTTTTTTTTTTTTTTTATCGTGAGGAAAATGCGTTACGCATTCCCCGCCGCTGGGAGACGGCGGGGATATGTGGGACTCTCTCCTGGGGACTATGTCGATCCCCAAGAGCATACCCACTAAAAACCTCACGATGTTCCTGCGCGCACCTGGCGCCGGAGCCGCGGGGTCCCTTTCAGATGCTACCGCGACTCCGGTGGTGCTGGTCCGCCTTTGGGCGGACCCCTACACCATCGCCCCCTTAATCATGGGGGGCGACCTACACGGAGATGCCCCGGAACATTTGGGGCATCTACCGGCGGCGGAGGCCTGTGCAATGCAGGGGCAGGGTCTCCCAACCCCGCACCCTGCTGGCCTCCGCTGATGGGACGCAGGCGGTCGGCGAAGAGCCGTCGCGTGCGTCCTCTCCGCCGACGCCGAATGGGGTCCGAAAGGGCGCTGTCTTCGCGGACCCGTTCGGCTGTCTCCTTCTGCGACATCACGTCCTCGCAGAAGGAGACCATCGCCTGCCATGACCTCTCGCTTCCCAGCATGGCTCTAACTATGCTGGGCAGTGAGAGGTCTCGTCCCACCACCTCTACGAGATCCCGGCGCTGCTGGCTCCAGGTCGGGCACACCTCCAAGGTGTGCCTCGCCGAGTCTGTAGCAGCGCTGCACTCGTGACACTCCGGGGTCACCTCCCTCCGTGCGATCTTGTGCAGGTAGTCACCGAAACAGCCGTGTCCGGTGAGTACCTGAACAAGACGGTAGGTGAGGGACCCGTGCCTCCTCTTTCTCCAATCGGCCAGTACAGGGAGCAGCGCCTGGACGGTGCGCTCCCCGTATCTGGCCGATCGGAGTGCCTCCTCCCATCCCGCCTGGACGGCGGTCTTGGCGGCACGCCGAACCCCCACTAGCTCCTCTAGTGTGGGGCGCTCTCCACGTGCCCTGGCTTCCGCACGGCACCTGTAGGTCTGCTCGAGGACGGACGCCTCGAGCTCCCAGGGTGCGGATCCAGCCAGGGCGCATGCCGCCGCTCCGGAAACCGTCCGGTACGCCCGAATCGCCCTCACCGCCATTAGCTTCTGCGGTCTGCGCAGAAGCGGCCGCAGTCTGGTGGTGAGGGCCTCCGCCCAGATGGGCGCCCCGTAGAGGGCCATGCTCCGTATGACGCCAGCATAAAGCCGACGACATAGGGAGCTGGGTCCCCCCACGTTTGGCATAAGGCGCCCAAGCGCCGCCGCGGCGGACACGAGTCGCGGCGACAGCCGGTGGAAGTGCTCTTTGAAGTTCCACCGGCTGTCCAGGGTGAGCCCAAGATACTTTATATGAGGGCTCACCCCGACCCTCCTTCCTCCCACCTCCACCCAGGAGCCGGGCGGAGGCCCTCGACGGAGGCCATAGAATGCTATGACCTCTGTTTTGTCGAAGGCGACCGTGAGCCCCAGCTCCCCAATGCGGCTGACCACTAGGGCGCTTCCCTCCGTGGCCAGTCGCGACGCTTCCCCCCAATCCCGCCCCCGGGCGTAGACTAGAGTGTCATCTGCGTAGCAGATGACACCCAGTCCAACGGGGAGAGATCCTCGGAGCACGTAGTCGTATCCGAGGTTCCACAATAGCGGGCCCAGAACCGAGCCCTGTGGAACCCCGCGGCACATGCTCCGCTCCCTCATCTCCCCGTTCCGGTCAAGGAAGGAGATCTTCCTCCCGGTGAGGTAGCTCGACACCACCTGCCTCAGATATTGAGGCAGGCGGTGGAACTTTAGGGCCTCCTCGATGACGGAGAACGGGATACTGTTGAACGCGTTGGCGATGTCCAACGACACCGCCACAACAATCCCCCGTTCCGCCTTGGCCCTCCTCACCTGTCCCCTTAGCTCCGCTATCGCATCGATGGTCGAACGCCCAGCCCGAAATCCGAACTGGTGCGACGACACATCGGGGCCCACACTGTCGAGGTGCTCGATGATGCGGGGAGCGAGCACTCGCTCGAAAAGCTTACCCGCCTCATCGAGCAGCACGATGGGCCGATACGCTGATGGGGACTCGACCGGACGCCCTTCCTTCAGGAGGAGGCAAAGGCGGCCCTCCTTCCACACCTGGGGGAAGCTCCCCGACGCCAAGCTGGCATCGAAGAGCTTCAATACGCGTTCTCCCAGGTGTTCCAACGCGAGTGCCAGGACTTTCCCTGGCACACCGTCCGGACCGGGGGCCTTTCTTGTGGCTCTGAGCCGGTCCGCTGCCGCCTTTAGTTCCTCCTGTGTGACTGGAGGAACTGTATCGGCCTGTTCCGGCTCCGCAATCGGCGGAGTCATGGAGGGAGGAGAGAAACTCTCATCCCCCTCCGGGAACAGGCCAGCCACCACTTGATTGAGGAGCTCCGTCTCCATCGTCTCGGCGGGGGGCGCCCGGTGCTGCAACTTGTTGCGCACCATCTTGTACGGGCGCCCCCAGGGGTCCCCATCCAACGTGGCTAGGAACCCCTGCCGGGCCAGATCTTGGGCCCGGCTTATGCCGACTCGGAGCTCCTCTTGCGCCGCCCTATAGGCGGCGTGGTGGATTTCCTCCTCCTGGGGCGTGTGACGCCTTCTGCGACACCGCTTGTGCGCCCTCCGCGCGGCGTTGCTGGCGGATCGCAGAAGCGCGAGCTCGTGCGTCCACCAGTAGACCTCCCTCTTGTTGGGAGGCCTGCCGCCGGTACGGGGCATTGCGGCATCGCAGATGGCAGTCAGATTCCTTCTGAACCCGACTGCCATCTCGTTCGAACCCACTTGGGGGGAAACGCCCCATGCGGCCACGATAGCCGCCTCCGTTGCCCTTTCGGCATCGAATTTGGCGAGGGCCCAACGGGGAAACCCCTCTCGCCCTCGCCCTCGCCGTGCAGGCGCCGTCGTTGACGCCTGCGAGGAGGAGACCCTGAACCTTATGTATACGTGGTCCGAAAGGGTCTCCTCCCCCTCCAGCACCCGCCAGTCCTGCACTTGTGAGGCTAGGGTGGGGGTCGCGAACGTTATGTCCACGATGGAACCCCCCCACCTCCTCACGCAGGTGTTGGCGGTGCCGCGGTTGGCGACGACCAGGCCGTTGGCCGTCACCCACGCATGCACCGCTCGCCCCTTGGCGTTGGGCAAGCGGCTGCCCCAAGCCGGCGATTTGGCATTGAGGTCGCCCATTACCAAAATATTCGCCGGGGCGAGCCTCCTCACGGCCGAGCTGAGCCTCAACAAGAACGGCTCAAACTCGACCATTGGGCGGTTGGGCGAAAAATAAACGCCCACTACCGCCACCCCTCCTCCGCACACTGCCACCACGTAACCGGCCCCCCTCTCTTTTACGACGAGAGGGGGAGCCGCCGACGGCGTGACGATGGCCACGACGCCGTCCACGTCCCCAGCCCAGTTGGAATGCCTGGGAACGTAGTACGGGTCCGCGGCTACCGCAACGTCCACTGACCACTGCGCCATGGACTGCATGAACAAGTCCTGTGCTCTGGCGCAGTGGTTCAGGTTCGTCTGGAGGAAGTTGAGTTCAAGTCTGTCCATCAATAGACATCTCAACTTCCTCCACTGGCAAAGCCGCAGGTACCGTCGCTGCGGTGGAGGCCTGGTTCCCTGGGGCCTCCTTAGCCTTCATTGGGGGAGGGCGACACGCCTTCCCTCCCATTATGTGCGCCGCCGGCCGACCAAGATCGGCGCAGACGGCACACTTTGGCTCCGCCTGACATCCAGCCGCCCGGTGACCTGGCTTGCCGCACCGGTAGCATAAATTGCTCCGGTCCGAGCTCACTGGGCAGCGACGCCCTACGTGACCGATGCCCATGCAGCGATAGCACCGCATGGGCAATGGCTCAAGCACCCTGACGTGTGCAGTGCTCCACCCCACCCGGAACTTTGTGGCGACCACCGCCTTGGCGACGACGATAGGGCAGCGTACGACGACTGCCCCGCGGCCGTCCGCTCCGGTGGCGATCGCGCCCACCCGAACCTGGTCAACGGAGCATGACCCTTTCGCCACCACGGCCGCACGCACTACCTCGGCCTCGACGGAGTCGTCGAGGTCGGAGATGCGCAGCTCCACGCATTTTGTGGGCCGTGCCACCGCAACGTCGTCGCCCAACACTTCCCGGAGCCTGGAGGCCAGGCGGTCTGCCTTTTCATCGCTGGCGGCGCCCGGGACCTCCAAAATGCGGGCCCCGGTGGCGGTCTCCCTGATACGCACGTCTTCGATTTCCAGCTCCTGAAGATTGAACGCTTGACGTGCACGGGAGATCGTCTGAGCGTACGTGACTCCCTTTTCTAAGGCCGCCGGTTGCAGAGTGAGAACCACAGCCGTTGATCGTGGCCGAGGAGGAGGAATGGCCTTCCTCGGCTTAGGCTGGGCCCTCGTCGTCGCGGGCGCGGCAGCCGCTTTCGCAGCTGCCTGTCTTGCCCTCTGCCGCCTCCTTCTCTCACGACGCCTTTGAGTGACGCTTTCCACCAGCGTCCACCCTTCTGACTGTGGCGTCGGTGGCGGTGCTCCGGCCCCTGTTGGGGCGCGCGGAGTCGCCTTGTAACTGGCCGGCTTTGCTGCCGGCCTCGGTGCAGGCACCGAGACCAGCTTCGCCAATGGTCTGGCGGGCGGCCCTGTCCCTGGCACCCACCTGGACGTGACTGGCTGCGCCGCCCTCGGTACTGGCGTGGGAACTGGCATCAGCAGCTGTGGGGTGCGTGCAGCGCGCGCAACCTGTGCTGATGCAGTGACACGTGCACCAGCGGCCACCGCGTATGTCCGCGATGTTGCCGGAGGGCAGACGGACGGAACCGCTGCTCCCTGTGACTGCGCCAGTGCCGCCCTCTGTCTGTCTGCCGCCAAAGGCGGCCGCAAAATCGGCGCTGGGGGGAGCCTCGTCTCGAGGCTCGCAATCCTTGCATTGACCATCTCCCCTATGGAGATGGTCAAGGAACGTTTGAGCTCCTCTACCACGTCCGCGCCAATTCCTTGCTGCAGAACAGGAGTGGCAGCGGCGGAGGGGCGAGGGCGCTCGGATAACGCCTTCCGGAGGGCGATGACCTCTGCCTTGATAAGGTCTACCTCCTTGCTGAGACGAGCGTTATTGGCCATAAGCCGCTTCGTCTCCTCAGTCACAGTCCTGGAGGCGAGAGAATCGATGGATGCCTCCAGTTTAAATAGGTTTAAACAGTCGAAATTATCCTTAATTTCGGCCGCGGTGGTACCCTTGAGGTTCCTGGACTTGCTCACCGCGGCGAGGATTCTCGTCACCTCCGCCATCGCCTCCGCTCGTTTTACGTCGGCGGCAAGGGCTTCCGCCCTTGGTGCCGCCCCGTGCCAACTTTCCGCCTCCGAGTCCTCCCAGTCGAGGTCGGAGAGCCCCTTCGTTGCGAAGGCCTCATATGCCTTCACTTCTGCAGCCGTGCATCTCTTCGCCTCGTTTGAGGCGGCTTTCTTCTTTACCGCCCCGGCGCGGCCTCCTCCCCTGCGTGCGGTGCTGATTTTCGGCGCCGCCGCAGTTATTTCCGACTCGCTGAAGTCGGAGCAATGCGACACATCCGGGGGTCGCTTGACCGCTTTGCGGCTTCCACAAGCGCTTTTAGTGTCCATTCCGGACACCGACTCCACCTCGGAACGCTGGAAGCGTCCGAACTTGTCGCGCTTCTGGAGCGCGCTCTTGGGCGCAAAAGACTGGGACGGCCTAATCAGGATGTCCTCCAGTATAACGACTGGGCTCCGCTCTTCGAGTCGTCGTCGCTGCTCGCTGTCCTTCACAGCCGCGACTTCCTCCAAATCATCAAAGTCGACGACGGACCCATCGTCCGCCTCGACTGAGATGGCCACTGTGGGCCTAACCTCGCCCATGTCCTCAATGGACCTCCTGTCCTGAATAGGACCACTCGGCTCCGAGGAACCGACAGGTTTCGAGGACATTGTTCGAAAGAACTATGCCGACAAAACACCACCGCAAGACACAAAAACACCTCAATTGCCCGCACGTACAGAAAGTCTCGGATTTAGTCACCCACCCACTGGCCACTGCGTTACCGCGCACCAAGTGGAATGGGGTCCAGGGCAGACGACGAGGACGTACTGAGAATTCACGTGGGGCCTGCCCCAGGTTAGCTCACCTAACCTAACCATATTATTGTGACTTGAATCATAAAAAAAATATTTTAGCCCCTTATTTGACTACAAGATTATATTTGTCAGTCTGTGTCAATCTATATGTTTGTCGTACATCAAAAATGTTTACATCAACAAACACTCCATAGCGAATACGAACAGCCACGTGAAGTGACACCTTTGGACAGTGTTCAGTTGTTTAGTCTAAATTTTTTCATGTAAAAAGGATTGACATCATGAATGATGATGATGAGAGATGATGAACAAGGATGGTGGATTTTAATATTGTTTTTATTCCGCTTATTTGTGAAGCACAAAAAGATCAAGAAGAAAAAAGGAAGAACAGAAAAAGAAATGTTTGAATTCTTGATGTAAGAAACGAAAACTTTTGAGTCAACATGTAACATTTTGCAAAGATTAAATCTCTATACCTGTTAATAAACTTACCAGTAAATAATGTTTTCTTTTTACAACTGTCCGAACATGTTAAATATTACTTTTAATATTAGATACTTTATATTTTTTTACTTTTTCTATTATTATGTACATCTTCCTCTCTTTAGTCTTTTATTATTTCCCCACATTGTTTGACAAAAGAATTATTTTATGCCTCGGCGGAAACGGGGATAGCTTGACCCGTATTAATACAACTCATACTCGTCCAACAATCCCTTACTTCCTTTTAACCGACTTCAAAAAAGAGGAAGTTCTCAATTCGACTGCATTTTTTTTGTGTGTGTACTCCGGTATTTGTGAACTGGTTTCGAGGATTCTTTTTTTTTTTGGAAAGAGGGTACCTCAGGATTGGTCCCATTTAAATTTGAAGAAAATATTCCATCTCTAAGGTGGCAAACTAGGGATGAATCCTGTTTCGAGCACTTTCCGGCAATCGATTTCAATAAAACTTGGCAAATAAATGTAATTCCATGAACATTTCAGATTGTTTTTTTTTTTTAATAAAAACGTGAATATATGTATAATAATTAATTATCTAGTCTCTCTCGTCTCCTCTCTGTTCGTCATCATGACACCCAAAAATGAGACTTGCTAAAATTTGTAATTATTATACTAGTAGAGTTTGATTTAATACGATGACGACGTCATTGTATACCAATACAAAATTAGATGTTTCTAATATCACGTATGGTTCAATAATAATAATATAATGACTAGACAACCATACTAATTTCTTCTATTTATAAGGTTGCCTGGAAGAAATTGCTATATAGCAATAAGGCCGTCTATTGCACATTAACTTACAAATTTTATACTTAAGTTATTGTTCTGTGTTCCAAGTGTAATTTTAAGTGCAATTAAGAGTACTTATTTTATTAATTCATTCATTTCATACCCAATTCCCGGTCGGGTCCTGATCAAACTAGAGAATTTCCTATAATACGAGGAACGGAGTTCACTTCGCGGCACTACTCAGGACACCCAAACCACAATTTATTTAGAAAAATTCATTTAACAAATTGGTCCTACCGGGAATCGAGCCCAGAACTATCACTCCAGCGCCCACAGTGCAGACCACTGGGCCTCCGAGACTGCGAAATATATACAGAATATTGTTCAAAAACGATAGGTAGGCAAACGATAGAGCCTATTTACATATGGCGTATTTTATTCGCGCGGACGACGTCGCGCTTTTCACGAACTGCGAGTCATCTGGGCACGTACGAGCCGCAAACACGCTGTAGTGAATCGATTCAAATGCGCGCAAACATCGCGTTGCAAGCAAGAAGCTTATATACTACACCGGAATTTACACTAAGAATTTCATGTAGTTGCTTCCTTTCAAAAACTAATTGAAATTAACAAATTAAAACTATCTTTTATCAAATGCGCATTTCAGCGTGTCTGTGGCCCATGTACGCGCAGATGACGCGCGTTTACGGCGTCGTAAACGCGCGTATCTGGCGCTTATAAAATACGTTGTGTGCATAGGCTCTTATTTGAATATTTATGCTTAGAATGTAATGTAATATAGAGACTGATATACCGTTTCTAGGAATTCGTGATTAATAAAATCCCAAATTGTGTGGAGGAAAGTATTTTTGTTATCAGATACTACGTTAAACCCTCTGTTATATAATGTGTGAAAGAGTCGTTTTTTTCGCAATTTCGGAGGAGTCCCAAAGTAAAGTTGTTTATTTCCGTGTACCGCACATGTCCTTAAAAGGATGTCAGCTAATAAATTAAGACCTTATACACAGTACATATTAAAAAGGGTCCGACCTAATCTCAGCTCTTGTGATCCTCGTATGGTCATTATAATGAACAAGATTCTTTTCAATTCTAAAAAAGTAAGATGCCTTGTACAATATGAGCGCCGTAAATAAAAAAGAAAAAAGAAACTGGATCTTCTGGACACAAAGTCTCGTAGTTCTAAGTTTGAAATCATGTTCATGTTCAAGTTCGAAATGTTCCTATGTGTAGTGGCGAAACAACTAATGATTTGTGTAATTTTATCGAGAACCTGGGCAACACTCTTCACATACCTCTGGACATCTCGCACATAAAAAACATTCACAGAGGCTACACGAAATCAGAAAAGGAAACCAATTGTTGTGGCGTTATTGTCTGTCATACAAAAAGAAAAGTTACTAAGTTATGCAAAAACATTTAATAAATTGAATTCGGCTTCTAAATTGTATACCACCCACTTCAAAAAAAAGACGGACCGCCAGTATTAATTTATGTGTCAGATTACTTAACAACAAAAATGAAAAGACTACATTTTTTGCCACAAGAATTCGCCACCATAAATAGTTTTAAATAATGCTGGGCTACTTCGAGTATATGGTAGCAGGTAGGTATATGGTGACCTGCGCAAAAAAGAAGGTGAACAGGTGATGAAAATAAAGAACGAACAAGATCTTCAAATTCTGCAAAAACAATTGTGACTGTGTATTTTATACATTTTATACATTTCTTACTTTCTTATGTATGTACCACAATAATTCTACCTTTACATACTTTCGTTATTTGCATGCAATTTTAATTTCGCATTTTTTCGTATTAACTTCACAAAACACGTACCAAAACACACATAAATACATTTACATTACGTTCTGCCGCTCATCACATTACAATACACTACAGATTAAAAAAAACAACGAACAAACAAATGCACAGACTACAGAGTTATTTATTATTGTTATGCAACACATCCTTCATTCCGATGTTCGTGCCTTGGTGCCAGATCGTTTATTTGCAATACTATTATTATTTTAATTTTTTTGAATTCCCAGACAATAATTTACTAATTAGAAATATAGATGAGTTCAAAATAAGTCAATCCTTTATCTGTAAACCTGAAAACTGTAAATCAAAAATATGTAACCTGAATTCTTAACTAACGATATTACAACAAAATATCAGGAGTATAAAAAAGAACTTTGATAGTATACCTATACTCTTATTACGACTAGATTTTTGAATGCGATATTATTGTCTTGAGCGAGTGTTGGCTTCAGTCGTCTACGTACTTACCTAAGTTGCATGAATACACAAACTTTAGTACTCAAAATAACTACAACCAAAACGATGGAATTGTTGTCCTAATAAGAAATAATTTTAATATTATCTCGGTTGAAGAACCATCGCTCCTTGAAGCGAATTGTCTCATAATAAGAGTTTGTTCTGATACTATAATTATAGCCTTGTACAGACCATGCTGCTTTAAAATCCCTGACCCTTTCGTGCTTTCCCTATGTACCTTACTAATACAGCCCGCCTCCTATAAAAATATAATATTAGTTGGCGACATAAACATAAACATCAGAGAAACAAGTGACATTGTTATTAACTACTTCGACACAGTAGCATTTCATGGAATGTTACCAGCATATGATCATCCCACTGGAAACAATAACTACCTTTATCACGTAATTTTAAAAACAAAGTTGACAAATTCTACGTATATATTACAAACAGCCATCATGGATCACCAAGCTGTGTTGTTTAAAATATAAAAACACATCGCAGAGTAACAGGTTAAAAACCACTAAAAAGTAAACATGCATAATATCTTAAAAGAAGCACTACAATTTGACTATAATTCTATATACAACACGGATGACTTAGATAGTGCTACCAACCTTTTTATAGACTACACACAAAAGACAATTCTAAAAAATACTATATTCATAAGAGTACCGCGAACTAAAATTGTAATAAAACCCTAGATAACAGTTGGACTTTTGAAGTGTATTAAGAACAGGGATAGAATGCATATCAAAGTAAAAAAAGAACCAGATAATAAAATACTAGGCTTCACGTATAAAAGATATAGAAACTTTTGCAAAACTATATTAAAGAATTGTAAACAGCAGTACGAAAAAAAGAGCTCCTCACGCCTAAAAATAGTAATAAAAAACTTTGGAAAAATATTAAAAACATTGTACGCCTCAATAAACAAAAAGATCAATTAAAAGAATTACTAAAAATCAAGGATTCTGAAATGCAATCAGCTAATGCAGTAAACAGTTTCTTTGCACAGGTTGGTTCAGAGCTGGCTGGGAAAATTCCACGTTATTTATCCTGTATGTAACGTCTTCACGCACTTAGATGTCGATCTATCAACTCATTTGCTCTCTTGGGTACTACTTGTGAAGAGGTAGAAAAAACAATAGTGTCTCTGAAATCCGACAGCGCGACTGGCTGGGACAATATTTCCTCTCACACCCTAAAAACTGTAAAAGAAGCAGTAGTACCTCCACTAACTTATTTAATTAATAAATCCTTGAGTACTGGTGTATTTCCCCGTGCGTTAAAAAAATCGATTGTTGTGCCCATCCACAAAA